CTTGCCCGCCCTGATTAGGTCTAGCTGATACTGCTCTAGCTCCAACTTTTCCTTTTCTAAAGAATGCCTTACACAGTCTTTCTCAATGCTCAGCTTGTCTCTTTCCATTTGTAAGAGTAACTCCTTTTGCTGCTCAAAAGACAAAGCAACGGCAGTTGAGACCACAGACTGATCAACCTCAGCCACTAAAGTTTTCATTTTACCTGGCAACACGACTTTCTTTACTAATGCAGCCTTCAACACTCCTTTAATCTCATCTTTCAACCGTTTATCTCCAACGTCGACATCATAATGTTCAGCAAGTTTCAAGAGTTGTTCTTTAGTACAACTATTCAAGAGTTCCTCCGATGGAGACTGAACAAAAGCATCAACAGTAGCCATAACAGCAAAGTATTGATTCTCGACATGCAATTGAAAACAGCACTTTCCCACTAACTGCCTAACCAAAATCTACTTAACTAAAGCCTAGTCTTCATGCAGTTACTTACGGTGGGTACTTATGCACTAAAAACCGCCAGAAAGAGAAAGGCAACTGCACAAACAGCGACCCCCTCAATCCTGGGGACGTGCTCCCGAGACAACTGCTCTAACCGTGTTCACCGCAACAGAAATTTCAGTGAATGATTCTCGAGAGAAACACTCCTTCAACATAACAGGGAAAGCACTGATTTTAATGATTCAATAATCAACACAGCTCATACGCTCCAAAGTTGACACAAGACAGCACATCAACACTAGCTCCAGTAAACTTAAGTCTACAGCAAACAACAGTATTAACATGACTGCCTCCACTCAATCTGCCTAACCAAATGGCCTCCCAAACACAATACACAGCAGACCCAGATTATCAAAGCACCACAAATAACCAAACTGATCAGCAATCAACTCAATAATTGCCTACAAGGCAAGTCCTAGCCAAGACACAACTAGACAAGCAGCTGCAAACAGACCAGCTCTCAATCAAATGTTAGAAAGCTTACCAAACCAGGATAATTGCACAGACGATCCCGGACGAGCCGCCATTTGTCACAACCTGGCTCATAGGAAGTGACAAACAAATGGGAGACCACACACAGGTTTTTAAAGACTGTAAGACATATTTAATGAAAATAAGGTAAAGCAACTTAAACACAATTTAAAGGACATAACAGCCATAACTGAAACATCCTAATGAACATGACAAGTGCCAGAGAGAGCGTCAAAGCCAGCCACCACTGGTTCAGTCAAGGTGTCTTTATATACACTGGGACTGGCCTCTCAGGTGTGCTGCATCAATAATTGGGTCAGCTCCACCTACCTGCAAGAAACAGGTAAAAGAAAAAGCAAAACACAAGGCCAGCCCACTGGCCGTCACACTTAGTAACAATAAATACCTTTTTTTTAAAACATGGCCTTATCATGTTAAAGGGGCAGAATTTAGTGCATGATCTGATCAAAAAGGGATATAGTGAAATTTATGTGTCCTTGTCAGTGCTGCTGCGACCTTGGTGACAAACAGTTGTGGTTGGAAGTTTCCATACAGCTTCCGGTTCCTTGGCGTACACCTGGCTGAGGATCTTACGTGGTCAGTACACACAAACAAAACAGTGAAGAAGGCCCAGCAGCGCCTCTTCTTTCTCAGGAGACTGAAAAGATTCGGCATGAGCCCCCGCATCCTCAGGACCTTCTATCACTGTGCCATTGAGAGCATCCTCACTGGATGCATCACCACCTGGTATGGCAACAGCACCGCCTACAACTGCAAAGCTCTCCAGCGAGTAGTGCGGTGCTCTGAACGGATAATTGGAGGTGAGCTTCCCTCCCTCCAAGACATCTACAGGAAGCGGTGCCTGAGGAAAGCGGGGAGGATCATCAAGGACTCCAGTCACCCCAGCCATAAACTGTTCAGACTACTTCCATCAGGAAGGAGGTTCTGCAGCATCCGGTCCCGTACCAGCAGACTGAGAGACAGCTTTTTCCATCAGGCCATCAGACTGCTGAACACGTCATAGACACCTCACCTTCACTACTGGAACTTCAACATTATGCACTCCACACTGTATATAAATGCCACTTGTTTTGCACATATTCAACTCTGTATATTTTATATATTTTATTATTATTATTATTATTATTTTATTTTATTTTTTTACTATTTAATTTGTAAAAATGTGTATACACACACACACACACACACACACACACACACACAGGAAAATATTTAGTATACACATCCAGAAATGCATACACTATTATATATTGTACATATATTTATTAGTTTCAGGTTGGCCATTCTTGTATTTTGCTCGTTTGTGTTGTTGTGTTTGCACATCTCTGTTGCTTGTGGGGCTCGCACACAAGAATTTCACTCGCATGTGCTGTGCCAGTGTGCCTGCACATGTGATGTGACAATAAAAAGTGATTTGATTTGATTTGATTTGATACACTCATCATGGGCATAAAAGTCATGGTAATTCGGGGCTTTTAATGATTTCTTTGAAGTGTTCTTTTTCTAGAATGCGATGATTGTAAAGCATACAACTTTATTGACATTATTTAGGATTTTCTCTAATACACATGGTCAAGTATACATAGAGGCTCAAATGTATACATACACTCACTTAAATTGTTTATTAAGTGCTGTGAAAAGTTCTACAATGTATTTTAACTTGATCTATCTATCGAGGCCTATTATGTCTGGTAGTTTCTCTTTGTCAGCATTAAAATAATTTGTTTGACAGCATTCATTGGACTGACCAATACTCAAAAGAATTGGAAGGTCCAAGGAATTCAATGAAGGTCTAAGAAGGATAATTGCAGATTTACACAATTTGGGAAGATTCTTTGTAGCCATTTCTAAACAACTGCAGATTCCAATGTCATTATTACAAATAGTTGTACTTACTCACAAGTTATTCTGATGTCTCACGTCTTTAACGAGGTCTGGTAGAAGACCACAAGCGTCACCCTCAGATGAGAGGAAATTAGTTGGGATGTTCAGAAACAACCCAGATTCAAGCCTACCATGAACTTTATACTGATGGAACACCCAGGAATCTGACCAGTTGTTAGAAGCTTGTTAATGGCTACCAACAATATCTGATGAAGGTGTAACTAGTTAACGGACATTTAACATTACTGGAGCTACACAGTGGCGCAAAAAAGTATTTAGTCAGCCATCAATTGTGCAAGTTCTCCCACTTAAAAAGATGAGAGAGGCCTGTAATTTTCATCATAGGTATACCTCAACTGTGAGAAACAAAATGAGGAAAGAAAATCCAGAAAATCACATTGTCTGATTTGCAAAGAAATTCTTTAAAAATCACACAATGTGATTTTCTGAAATTTTTTCCCTCCTCATTTTGTCTCTCACAGTTGAGGTATACCTATGATGATGATGATGATGGTGAAGCCTTTATTTGTCACTTGCAGTTGCCTGCAGCAAAATTGGACCTCTCCCGACCATACATACAATACACAAACATCACATCAGGGAGACAGGTCAAAACAGGTAGTGTAAAGAAAAACAATGAAATATACAACACAATAGAGGATGATATGATAAAAATTACAGGCCTCTCTCAACTTTTTAAGTGGGAGAACTTGCAAAATTGGTGGCTGACTAAATACTTTTTTGCCCCACTGGATCTATGTATTTGAGCCTGTATGCATGTTTTTTGTCCTGTGTGGATTAGAGAAAATCCAAAATAAATTCAGACTTGTTCACCCAATTCTAGTGTTTTAAAGCCATTAAAGATGCATGCTGTTTAATCATTCTGCTCTGGAAAAAGAACATTTCAAAGAAATCATAAGATCAAAACTACTCGGACGTTTGTGTCCAGGATGAGTGTATGGAAACTTCTGACCACAACTGTATTTGTACCATTATATGGTTTTTAGCCAGGATAGCAGCCTCTTTTAGCTTCCTCATCAAAAGTTACGATCTATAGCTCATCAGCAGGGAGAATTTGCAGACTTACCTCAGCTAGTGATTACTGTGATTAGGCCAAATTAATTTTAATATAAATGCTGCAGTGATCACTTTATCTAGAACTTTGAATGCTATTGTTTTCCATGAGTAGAGGTGTGCTAACGGGTCTTGCTAAATAGCATTTTACAGTGTAGTTTGATAGATTATTTTGTGGAATAACAGGTTACATTACACATACACCCTGACCCTGTGAAAGTCATTGACCAAAAGGAAAAGAAAAAAAGTTTGAAACTGCTGACTGTAAATCTTTGTCCTGGCATTTTTTTTTCCATTGCTGTAATTGTTGAAATGGGGCTGTGTTAAAAGCATTTTTCCCTGAAATATCGATCATGTTGATAATTTAGGCTGGCGATATCCATCTACACTCCTTATTTTCCGCAACCTTAGGATCACCTGCTGAGGAGGTTGACTTTTTTCTTGCAACCTTCAAGCTTTAGTGAAATTCAGTGATGATTCTAATTGCTAATTTCCATCTATACATACACACAGTTTGTTGAAATTTTAGTTTTGGACAGTCTGATTTAGAAAATATAGAAAATCCCAAAAGATTAGAGACAATAAAGACAAAAGAAAAAAAATAGAAGATGGGGTTTGGAATCAAAGTGAGAGTGAGAGAGAGAAAAAAGAAGAAAAGAATTAGAAAAGAGGGAAAAGAAGTAGAAGTAGCAGTAGTCACTGTTTGTCAGCATGGCTTTGTCTGCCAGCACGATGCAGCTCCAAGATACTGGACCAAAGCCAGCTAATTCTGGCCAGAAACACACACAGGTTCTCTCGCTCTCTCACTCACTCTCTCTCTCTCTCACACACACACACACACACACACACACACACACACACACACACACACACACACACAGACTCTCTCTCTCTCTCCCTCACTCTACAAGCACACACATTTGGCAGAAAGACTGTTGGGTCACGGTATAAACTGCCTCTCCCTCTTCCTTTCTTTTCCTGATCTTTTGTCCTTTCCTATTCCCACTTACCTATTTACTTGTTTGTGTGTATGTGTGTGTGCATTTCCATGTAGCAGGAGGTGTTGGAGATAGCTTTGGATCAGTGTGGCCCATCTACTGACAGGAAAATTGCCCTGATAGACAAGAACCGTGACCTTTATTTGACCACCGTGCGTCATCTTGGACGAGAACCCAAAATCTGCAAAATTGGTGAGACATGGAGGGAATGCACTTAACAAGATCGGTGATGACTTTCTTTGTTTTGTGTGTGTGTGTGCGTGTGTGCGTGTGTGTGTGTGTGTGCGTGCAACTAAGGTTAGATTACTGTAATAGCTGCATGCATCTTCTATCTTTTAGGTAGCATGGTTCATAGTATGGCCTGGAATGATGCTGCTAACATCCTGTGTGGAATCCAAGACAACCAGCTGACAGTGTGGTACTACCCAAGTGTTGTCTTCACTGACAAGGAATTATTACCGAAGACACTGTGCATAAAAGATGGCAGGTAATTTCCCTGGGCTTTCGCAAAGCCCCTGGTGTGACTAATTAATAAACAATTAGTGTCTATGCTTTGACACACTGGGTAATGCATTAGTGAGAGTGATTGGTCATAGGCCAATGAGTTGTTTTTCAAAAAGAAAGGTTATTGTTGTTACAGGTAGATGCAAGTGGATGTAAAAGGAAAACAAAATTAAGGTTCCAGTAGGATGTGAACCAGCATCTCCTGGCTGTTAATTCTAATAGATGTCACACCACCAATCCTCCAACCTCCTTATGAGGACTTGACACTTCTGTAAAATGATCCTGTTAATACTCAGTTGCCAATTTAACCATGTCTGGTGCGTCAAAGCACCAACTCTAAAAACCACCTTACGTGGGGAGATTCTAGAGGTTCTGACAGAGAGGTATTATGCAGTACAAGAAATGGGGATGAGAATTAATTGGTGACTTTAGCATGTAACAGCTGATACCATTCACCAGAATGGCGAGTAAGTTCCTATTACAAAAGCAGCAAAAGGTTATATTCAAGTTTAAAGTTGGCCAGAGTAGATAGAAGTATATAAGAGAACCTCTCAGTGCCCTTGCATTTTCATCTGAGAGGTTTCTGGAAAAGATGTCAAATATGAACTAAGAGCAGAAATGGAGGCAGCTTTTCTGTACCTTTTAACTCATTCTCCAAAGCAAAATGCATATGGCCAACATCTATCAGACTGTGCAAAGCTTTCTGGCCAGAACTCCTCAGCGTTAGCCAGCATTGAAGGCAGAGTGCCTGCACTGTCAGTACAGGCAATTGTAAACTATACTTGTGTCTGCTACACTAATCTGAACACTTGGTTGTAAACTTTTTGTGCACATTTTGGACTCACTCACTGGTTTTATTATTGCTGTTTAGTGCTCAAGCAGGCAGAAATTTGAGGAACACCAAAGTCTAAGTGGCAAAAGCTAATAAATCATCAGAAACTGCAAATTTCTGAAAGTTTCTCTTTAGGTTTGTTGGATATACACCAGCCACTTTATTAGATATACCTGTTCAACTGCTGATTAACACGAATGTCAAATTGGCCAGTCACGTGGCAGCAACCCAGTGCATTTACATATTTAGACATGGTCAAGGTGACCAGCTGAAGTTCAAGCTTAGCATTGAGAATGGGGAGAAAAGTGGTTTAAGTGACTCTGAATGTGGCATGGTTGCTGGTGCCAGGCAGGCTGAGTATTTTAAAAGCTACTGAGATGTGTCAGATACTATCATGTCAACATGTACCAAAATCTCAGAAGAATGTTTCCAGCACCTTTGAATCTGTGCCATGAAGAATTAAGCAGATCTGAAAGCAAAATGGGACCTAACCCAGCACTAGCAAGGTGTATCTAAAAAAATGACCAATGATGGTGTTCTACAGGAAGCAGGACGCCCTAAGAACAGTACAGGTTACAGTGGTACCATGGCTGTTGGGCCATTTTATCAGGTTTACATATGCCGTGCTTGTAGAGGAAACTGGTAAAATCTGCACTATTAATGAGTCTGTCGAAGCAGCGTCAGGAATCATTTATATGTTATTTATGCATAACAAACTCATTTTTTCCCTCTGCCCTCTGTCAATGCAGTATTTACTGTAACAAACTGTGTGTGTCTTTGCAAAGTGAATTCAGACGTGCACCCCAAGTTCTAAACTACATTGGCACCAAAGTGACATTACGCCAAGGAGATGGTTCATTGGTGTACAGCAGTGTACTACCCTTTCCTGCCCTCCTGCATGAATACAGCATCTCTGCGCGCTGGGAGGATGCACTGCGCCTCTGCTGCTATGCAAAAGTAAGATACTGGAAATGTCTTTTACTCTTTTCTACTTGTGTCAGTGATTTCTATATGTGCTTAATGTAAGTGATGTGACATCATTGTACAATTGGTCTCAGTGTTTGTAGAACTGTGTATGTCCTTGCATTAGCTGTACAAGCAAAGCCATAGTGAGCATTAAGCTTTCGCATTGATTACTACATTTCTTTCACGTTGTATTTATGTTAGCAGTTTTGTGGTAGTGTTAAATATCCTCCAGTCTTGGGGCTCTGGTACAGTTCAGCTTCCCATGGCGTATGTCACGTGTATGCATGGATAATATGTCTGAACCAGAAAGTAGTAGACAGGTTTATGGGACCTGACCAGCAGGCTTTAATTAGCTTCAATTAGCCTGGTGACTCCATTTACCAGATTAACCCCCCAGACCTCACTCATAAATACACACTCTGCTGCATGCATGTGTGGATTTTCCAAACATATTACTCACACACACTGAGCACAGTGTGAGACTGTGTCTTTGCTTAGGCAATGATGCAATAACCACAAGCTTGGAGAAACGGACAACAAGTAGCAAAGGGTGGTTGGAACAAAAGGGATGGAGAGAGGCACCAGTTTTAAGAGCTTTTTCCTTGACCCCATCCTCTCGGCTTCTGGTAAGCTTTTGGTGGCTTTTCCCAGAACCACAGTTGTTGTCAGTAAGTGCTCACCTGACAGGAGTCAACAGAAACATGTTGTAAATTAAGGCAAGAAGCACAGACCTAACATACAGTGACTAAAGTTTATAACCTAACAATTAAGTAGGCAAAAAAAGGTTTATTTCACGTGAAATTGTTTCACGTGAAGTTGTGTTGTCATGTTTACGACCTCTGGCAAGTCCTGCCGATGATATTTGTTGTTTGCAGGAGTGGTTTCTAATTGGAGCTGTTTTTCTTAGTGATGGATACTGAAAAACGCAGGAGATTACAGAGTGGTGACTCTGGAGTTCAGTTTGCTCAACTGCTGGCCCATTTGTGGTCAAATTTTAATTAATCCAGCTGCAGGAAATAAAGTGGCGACACATTTGTTTACATTTATAGTTGTTTTGTACTGCAAATACCTCCTGTTTTTGTGTGTGTCATGCATGTTTAAAGACTTGGTTAAAGTATGAGTAAAGTGTACCAGAATGCATTGAAGATACAGTCGTACTCTATCCTTATGCCCACTGATACATCCTCTTTTCATTAAGTGCTTTTTTGCTAAATATGTCATTTGTGAATGTGGCCAAAGGACTGAATTTTTACTTCATCTCTCCATAGCAATTGGTTTCTAAAACTAAGTAAGTAACAGCTCAGCTGTTACTTGGTTTATGTCCACCAAGATGAGATTTACAACATACAGTACTAGGCAAAAGTACCCCCCCACCACCACCACCACTTCTTTATATTTTGTTGGGAAAATTGGAAATGCAGTGCAGTGATTCATTGAAACATGTGCAAAGGTGCATGAAAATGCAGGATTAAAGGGAGTTTTTGCAATTCTAACCAGCTTAAAAGTCAGTATGTGGTATGACCACTTTATTCTTTGACACTCTTGGTCAAACTTTCTTGTCTAGTCTTCAGGAATAGTTCTTCAGGCTTCTTGAAGGACATTCAAAGCTCTTCTTTGGCTGTTGGCTGCCTTTTATTTTATCGTCTATCTAGATGATCCCACGCTGCTTCAGTAATGTTGATGTCTGGCTTTAAAGAGACCAATCCATGACTGATAGTGTTTCATCTGTGTTTTTCTATCCCAGTGTGTTTTTATTGCATTGGCATTGTTATGATGAATAATTAAGCTGCTGCCAATAAGCTTTCCAGACTCTTTCAGATATTTTCAGATGTTGCTCATCTGCTGTAGATGGGTTTTTTTAGGCCTGCAAGTTATTTTGTCCTCCACTTGTCCAGTTTCCTTTTTTTTTTCTAAAGCACACTCTGCAGAGATGCCAAGTTTTTGGCTAATAGCTCTTTGGGATTCACTTTGGTGGTGCAATTATACTATTTTATGTTTGCCAAATTGTGTTATCTTTGGCATTTTTCATAGATTCAGCAACAGAAAACGGAACAAATTATGTGTTATTATTACAGGCTGCTGATAGCAAAGGGTGTAAACACCACACCGTTTCCTCCCTTGAGTTAGGTGCCTTTTTTATGCCATAGGTCGATATTAATTAAAGAAAAAAAATGGTTTCATTAAAAGATGCTCTCTGCTGTTGTTCCCTTTATCCCTAGGACCAATCTTTGTGGGCATGTCTCGCTGGCATGGCAATGGCAAACAGAGAGCTGACTACTGCAGAGATGGCTTATGCTGCCATTGGAGAGGTAAGAGCACTGCTTATTGGCTAGTTCAGCTAAACACAAGTGTTGTAAACCACCAGAAAACCATAAAAAAGAAAATTCAGTGAAACTTCAGTGAATCTGTCAGTGAAAAGAGATACTGTATTTCTAGCTTCTCTCTTTGCATATCTGCTGCTTCACCTCTTTCAGTTACCTAGAGTTCAATACATCAACTTTCTAAGGGAGCAGCCATCTAAGGAGTCATCGTTGGCCCACATGCTGCTGTTCAGTGGTCAGGTCCAGGAAGCTGAGGCTGCTTTCTTACAAGCTGGTCTCATCTACCAGGCCATACAAGTCAACATTGACCTTTATAACTGGGAAAGGTATAATTCTGTATATATGTGTTCATGTTGGAAATGTACAGCTAGTAAAGAGACAGTATAAGCAGTTTTGGGAGATTTTTATTCATGTATGTATTTTTTGTATTTTTGGCTGTGTAAGGATTTTGTTTTATGGAGGTAGTCTAAACTTAGGTTTTAAAGAGTTAAGGTGAAGCATATTTGTTCACAGAGGATGCATGTCTGTCTGCATCATGTCATCTTGTGTCCAGGGCATTGGAGCTGGCAGTTAAACACAAGACCCATGTGGACACTGTGCTGGCCTATAGGGAGAAGTTCCTACAGAAATTTGGCAGGAAGGAGACCAATAAGAGATTCCTGCAGTACTCTGAAGGGGTACGTTATGGTGGCCTGTCTTGCTGCACTGTATAAACTGACTTGGTCAGCAACACACTGGAAACATTTTTAGCTGTGGATGGTGTCTATTTCTAATTATTTCCCATGGGTTATCAACTTTGTTTGCTCTGCTAATACACTCTAAGTGGCCTTAAAAAAAGTTGGTTTAGGGAAAAACTATGTTACCTTAGCATTTCTGTTTACCATCCAATCAGAAAAGCCTACAGCATTAAACTGCAAAAGGAGGCAAATCTCTAGCTGCACCTGACCTATTTAATCCCAAATATTGCTTGCAGTAGTGTTACTGGAGTGCTTATCACTGCAACAATGCCTAATATTATAATTATAGTCTCAAAGTACAAATACAATAAAAAAAGTTCCATATAACAAAAAGAATCACAGAGACTCTGTTGGTTTTAAAAGATGGTTGAGATGGTTAAAACCTTCTTGTAAACTGGTTAAAGGAAAGAAAAATCCATTCTGATTACCGTTTGACTTTGTTCTTTCTACACTTGCCGTCATGCCAAAAATGTTTAGGTATATATATGTACAGTTTTTGTTTTGCCTCTGTTCACAACCACAGTGGAGTTTGGCCCCATTGTCAGAGGCTCAGAGTTAATTTAGACAGACGAGCAGTTAGACGAGGCCTGTTTCCCTGATATTTCATTACAAATGAGGCAGGCATAACATCTGAAGCTGAATCAAAGTGCAGTCCCTCTCTCAAGACTCTTCATGCAAGTATTAAAAATGCTTAAAATAACATAATATGTAAAATCATGTTAGTCTGATCAGTTAATTTTGAGCCTCTAAAAAATGGGGACCATCTGTAAAAATGGCTGTAATTTATAATAAACTGATGAATAAACTGTTAACACCAAACTTATTTGTTAACCCCTTGAATTAAAGCTGAAAGTCTGAACTTCAATTACATATAGTTTTATTTAAAATCCACTGTGGTAGTATAGTGAGGCAAAACTATAAAAATAGTGTCCTTTTCCAAGAAATTATGGACCTAACAGTGTCTACTCTTCCCAAAAATGCTAGCTTCCAAGATGAACTGATCTTCTGTGGACAGTTTGTTTTTAATCCAACTCTTAAAAAATTGAGAGCGACACAATAATGGAAACTACTGGACTGTACAGATGGTAAATATCCATCTTTAATAGGATGATCAAACATGTGCCAAAGAGATAAGAGAGTTGTTTTGGTTTTTTTTTACACATCTAAAACTCTTCCAGTTTATAGTGTTGGCGCATACAATAACCAGACCGTACTAAATCATATCCCATGTAAACAGCTGACCCCGAAAAACTCAGCAGTAGGTAGGATTTCAGCCAGACTGCAAGGAAAAATGTGTGCATGTGACTTCAACCCATGTGATCACCACTGGAGGTTAAAAAGCACCATTATCATCCTACACGACCTTCCCAACTCCTGTAAATTGTTCAGTAAACATTTCTAATTTTAAAAGTGTTTGCAGTACTTACACTAATTACTCTTAAACAGAAAGAACCTACTCTAATGCATTACAAGTTGCTTTCTACTACCCGAGCTCAGCCAGCCTTACAGTTTGGAGGGATTTACAGACGATCTAGCAGCGTCTTTCTTAGCGTATCCGAGGCTAACATTTGAAAGCCAGTGTTTTAAGACGCTTACTATAACTTGTTTTCCTTCTCTTTTAATGGGGGATAACTCCCATTACCAAATGCTTCCCGGAACTGTTTATCAGTTAAAATAGTGTTTCTTACTTTCTCATTTCATCTCATCTTACTGTGTCTTCCAGGTTGAAGTGGACTGGGAAAAAATCCAAGCAAAGATAGAGATGGAGTTGTCTAAAGAGAGAGAGCGAGCTGCTAACACCTCTGTGAGGAGCAGCGTGGCCTCACGCCGTTGATTTTTAAAAATGTTTTTTATTTTTTTAAGAGGGTCATGTCCACAATAAGTACAGCAAGTACGATTACCTTCATGTAAAAACCAAAACTGAACAATTTTGAGATTTTGTGATGTCTGTGATGCCTGACTTACACTACACACATAGTCTTGTCAAGTTACATATAAAGCTTTAAACAAAATCGCTTATGTTACTGTTACTGTGGGTGGCTGATAACAGTTTTTTAAGGCTGTCTGTATTTCTGACCAACAGACCTGTGGCCTTCCTGTTGTAGTGACTGATTTTGAGTGAATCAAGTTTAAAGTTAATCTGTTTTCATTAACAGTTAAATAGGTATACGCGTTCATCTGTAAATTTGTATAAGTGTTATTTTTGTCATGTTTCAGTTTGTTTTTTTACATTAAAATATATTTTTATAGTTTACACATTTATAGTGTTGCCTTGTGGAAATGCGAGAATGTCCATTAATAAAGCATGTGAACCATACTGTATGTATTGATCCAAAATGTCCTGTTTCTTTGTTTTCCCCTTTGTGTCGTGACACTTTACTGGTTTTATACAAGGATCAGGGACTGTCTTTGAGGTCTGAGATTTATTTTAAGCTTTGCACATGCACCCTGAAGGTATTTCTGTGTGCATGCGTGTTTTCACAGTCTTAAAATAATGCAGGGCTTCTCTTTTTAAATTGTTCTTGTATTTCCTCCGCTGCTGAGGTATGAAACAGACCGCTTGCCACGGAGCTCCACCCCCTGGTTGGCAGAGGGCCACTACATCAGCAGAGGGTAATAGCCTATTCATCTCCACTAGTGGTCCAGGAGGATGAACATCTTTCTCAGGGCTCTTCAGAAAGGACTCCTATACTATGTCATGAAGATGCAGATGGATATGGTAGAAAGTGAACAAGATGAAACAGTGAGTGGCAACAGACACACATCACAGAAAACAGTAGGAAAATCTCTCTCTTGGGTTGGGTATCTCTTGCTGCTTATTTTTTTTTCTTAGCAGTTTTCCTGTAGTTTTGGTCACTTCACTTCTAAAAGCCTTTTTTTATTTCTGTCTTTCCACCAACTATCTATCTGAACTAATGTATTTTTAAGAGCAGACAAAATAAATCATTAATTAGTCATTGAGGTTAAAGCTAGTTGGGTTCACTGAACATCTTCCGTGTTCAAATTCCACATAATACAAGAGTAGTGACGATTTTCCTGTAATTTAACACAAAGCAAGTGAGCATCATGTGCTTGGCGTCAAGCACGCTTTATCCAAACAACTCCTTCACCTCAAACCATATAGATGTGAGAAAACAGCTAAATGGTGGAACTGGATGACCACGTTTCACATCCATTACTGGGAGTGGCCACACACAACAAACAGCAACATGTGAAATCAGTTCATGCTTTCTCTTAAACCATGCATTGCGTGATATACCTGATTCACTCAATTCCACGCCTCTACCTTCAGCCATATCTTAATGTTAAGAATATAAAAGTCACATTTAGATTAGACTTTCTATAGTTTTGAGTCCCAGTGGCAAATATCTTACAATGAAATGGCCAGTGTAAATATTTCATATTTTTGAAGCTACACAGCACACAGTGCCAAACAGATGCTCTTCTTTTATTAAACCATAGAAGTGTATATCTATATTCAAAGACTGGCTGGTTCTCATATATTAAATTGATAGCCAAGCTCTCCCAAAAATACACTTCCCGGATGTAATGCAGAATTTATGAGGAGGATAGAGAAGGATAATGCTCATTGATTTGACATTTTGAAGTTTGTCTGTTCTTTATACCAGAGAGCTATACGATAACTGAATTATGGGCTCTGATTCAAAACCCACTGAGTGTACCAATACTGTATTTATCCCTGTGTTTTTATAGATTTGCATCTCCCATGAGCGTATATAACTATCCTCTCCCCTGAGAGAAGACATACAGCTTTACTGTTGATGTTTACAAATGGAAGTCAGTATATAGTGAACTACACTGACTAGGAAGGAGAAAATGAAACGCAACAATCACACTTCTCATGGGTTCATTAGCCCTCAAACATGGCCTCATGCCGCTCAGGGTCTCAGATCCTTTACCTCATCTACCCATCAGTGGTTGTTTTAGTCTGGATTTAATGCTTTTAAGTCCAAACTCCAGCCGCCCACAAATGTCCCTCAGGAAAAGAAAGCCATCAGTGATCACTACTGGCTCTGCCATTATGGTCAGGCGATATTGGTTTACAAAAGCCACCACAATCACACTCAGACTTTTAGAGTTGGGATCAACTCAGGGTCTCTAATTGTAAAGGCTAGCTTTACAGATACGGTTCTGCATTGTTCGGAATGATGAAAGATGAGCACTTTGGAGCTTCTGGGATAAATCAGTTTAGTTGATTTGATAAGCTGATGGTTATTATCTGCTTTACACCTGCTCTTGTATCTTTAATGGGATTTAATTTGGTGCACTGTTTATATGCAAACACCTCCTTTTCATTTCTGCACAACAAACTGAAAACATTCGTCCATCTTGAAGTTGACGGGCAAATAAATTGAAAAGTGTTTTTTCTTTCAGTTCATATGTAAAAAAATGCAGATCTTTCAGAACCTTCCATTATTGTGAATTCGAAATGATCCAATACTGTTCGTACAACAAAAGACGTTTGGCTGGCTTACATCCAGCAGTAATGCAGATTCTCATTAGAATTTTTGGCCTGGCCCTAAAGATAAGACAATACGATATGGAGAGTGTGACTATTTACCAGACACCCAGTCAATCACAAGGTAAAGAAATACTAAATGAACAAAATTGCCTTTTCAGTATTATGCCATTAATTCACAGAAAGCATGTTTTCTCAAAATCTTCTTTCAGATGAGCTAAAGTGTAACTTCTTGTTTCTTTAGGACAGTTAGCATCTGCAAAAGCAGACTTGAATGTATTCTCATCTGGCATCTTCAAATCCTTCTGCTTTAACAAAGAAAGAACATTTTCTTCAATGCCGCGTGTGAGCTAGTATTTTTCTGTTTTGCTCCTTGGGACAGCAGCTATCTTCTCTGACATGCCTTCATAAAAGTGCAACTTTAGCTCTTATCAGTCTGGAAGCTGTAATCTCATTCATATTTTTCTTCTTCTTGAGTTCATAAGCTGGGACCTGGGGCAGTAAGGCTTCACTCACAGGAGAGATGTCAAGCATTGAGCAGGTCATTTATATAATGCTCATCTATCAGCTCCCAGTGAAGTGTGTATGTGGGGGTAGATTGCTGCCTTCATGCTGATAAGCTAGACTCCAGGGCTGGCTGGTTTAAAAAAAAGTGTCTCAGAAAGAATTATAACAGATATTTCCCTAATCCTTTCTCTCTTTCAGTCCATGTCTAAGGGGACTGAAAAAACTATTTTCTTTTTTTGGATGCAAATTTAATAAAGAAAAGGCTCTACAAAATAGTATGAGAATTTTTCAGGTTCGGCAGTATATTAAGCACTAAGAGAGGACCTCAGTTTGACAGGAAATCTGTTTCATGCTGCCGTTAAATTGAGGTGCTGAAGTTTGAAAAAAGCTTAATGCGATTGTACTGGAGCCAATTTAGCTATTCCCAACACAAAGCGCCTCAATTTCAGCCTCCTCCGCTTACTTTATAATCTGCTTTTCATAACCCAAGCGGTCATTTGCATACAAAAGGAAAGCAGGTTCCTGTTATCTCAGAAAACACGTAGTCCTGCATTTTTCTCAGCCTTCTCTTTTATTCTTTACATTCAGGAGTATAATTGCACTTGTTCGTTGTATCTCTGCAAGATTTTTTTTACCCTGACTATATTAAAATAAGAATAACAATGTTTCTGTAGTCTTGCCCATTCTCCGTCAAACAGAGTTGGATGTCCTTGGGCTCTGAGGTCCTGAGACCTCCAGGGCAGCCAGCCTCTGGTCTCCGGATCTCGGTCCTGTTGCTCTCCCTCTGCCCTGGCCGCCACTCTCGTTTTCGGACAACAAGTTCTCACCGGACCGGTCTCTGTGCATGTCTTGCATGCTTTCCTCATAGGTGGGCAAATACTTAACTTCGTCATAGGCCGGCAGGTTTGGAGAGGCAAAGCCCCCGAGGTTGTATTCGGGGTACCGCTCCAGCAGGGAATCCTGGGACGCTGATGTGTGTCCGTGAAAGAGGGACGGCTCCTCGCCGCGGTCGTGGTGCGGGTGCCGCCGGGGCCGAGGGCAGATGATCCGCTGGATGAAGTAGCCCATGGCAAAGAGCAGCAACAGGATCAGGATGCCGGACAGCTTCCGCGTGAACCAGCCGACGTTGTCGAAAAATGCGTGGATGGAGAGCTGGCAGCAGCTCACCTTCGAGCTGGCACTGGTGTTCCCTGTGACGGTGGGCGGACAGCAGTGCTGGTTGACGCCGCACTGGACCTCCCCACAGCTCTGGGCGGCTTGACATGCAGAGATCAGGCATGCCGACAGAAATGTGCCAGTGTATGCTGTCCGGCCGCCGCCCGGCACACGGGGCATCATTTCGGGATCCCCCAGGATGGAGCAGCTATCGGCGCGTCTCCAGTACGCACGACGTCGTATCGTTAAGCCCGCTCAGGTGTTGCAGGACTGCCTTTCCTTCCAGCTGTTCGCGAAATATGTGCTGTCACAGCTTCTGCAGCGAGGAGCGGGACAGCAGGTGCCCCCCCTCCCCCTGCTGAGGACGACCTGTCTGCTTTAGTATGGGCGATCGGAGTGGAGCCACCTCAGTGTCTGAAGGCAGCAGGGATGAGATTCATGAATAATCTTACATCATTATTAGGTGAAGATATCTTTATTGGGTCCTAGCATGTCCTTACACCAGTGAAACCCGCAGATAGCCAGCCTGTGCTCCTGGTTACATATTCTGCCTTAACCTGAAGTCTCCTGCACAAAGACACATGCAATCTCACCAGTTTTCAGACATCAGCAGCCCCCCTCTCTGATCACTACGTGCAATGTTTGCTGCAGAGCATCATGATTTATACTTTAAAGATCCAATAAAGAATGCTGTAGATGTAGGAGGAGGGGTGACAAGAGGAAGGAGTGAAGATATTGTGCCTTAGTACCTTGTAAAATTTAAACAAGTCTTTGTTCTATAGTGATAGATTGAGAGCAGAGGTCCTTAAGCCAAGGAACAGCAGCAATACTGCAATACAGAATTAATTAACTGCAAGTAAACATCCTGCATTGGAAATGTAGGATAGTGCAGATTATGTACAAATTCACTTAACAGTAATATGAATGATAGAAGATACTATGAAGTATTTGTGGATGAGTAGGATATCAGTGTTGGCTTTGGTTAAGGTGGAGCTAATGTTTCCCATATTGTCCCAAGATCATCATATGTTTCTGAACTCTTTAGGCTAGTATAAATTAATAGAAACCTTTTATAATGTAGAGAGGTAAACAGCTGTAATATCTGAGACTGACACGTCCCCAGATGCCACTTTATGATCCATTGCACCCGAAAGACTTTAAAACTGTCCCATCACTGAATTCTGAACCAGGTAAAAACCAGCACTGGTGAATGTCCCTGACACAAGGCGCCAACAGCTCCAACCGTCTCATTAAAAATGCAATGTGGATTGTAATGGCCCCCATTAGATGAGTGTCTGGATTCCCATTAGTTCAGTATCACCCTAGAGAACCATGTGTCTGCAGCATTGAAGAACATAACCATAAAACTAATTCCTTGCTTTAAACGATAGTCTCTGTGCCCCGTGTGTTAATTTATGCTAAAGATGTCCCTTTGGATAACATCCAAGAACAGCGGGCTCACTAAGCTGCTCCTCAAGTCCTGAATATTAACTGATTAATTAAACCACTCTGCTTAATTTGTTGTCTTGCAATGAATTAGCGACTTGAATAATTTTCCGCCGTGGTTGTATAGATCGACCAGCATCATTTTTCAAAGGCCTGTTGTCCTTTTCTTTTTCTCTCTCTTTCTGCGGTGAATAGCATTTATGATATTAAGACATTACAGGGAAGACTACAGCCTCTGATTCTATTTTAAAAGACAGGGTTGTACTGATAAATATAAGGACTTTAGAGTCTTTTGCAAAGTCTACATTGTTTAAATTGTGGTGAATCCTTTTAAATTACAGGAACATTTCACCCTGTCTTCATGTTACTGTTTGTTACTGATAGTCAGTCTGTATTCGTCTCTTTCCTAAACAAGGCCTAATGCACAATACACCAAATCCAATTACTGGACCATTATGACATGAAATTCAGTAGAAGAAGAGCACCATGCAACCTAATTTATGCAGCATCGTATTTCTTTCTGTAATCTACCTCAATTAGGGAAATGTGATCACAGGGCAACTTTCCAACCAAATAAACAATCAATAGCCTGTGGACCATGGCTCTGAGAGTTCAGAAACCCTTCTCAGTTCTCCCCTGTTTCGTTTTTCCAGCAAGTCTGCTTCTCAGGAGGGCTCTTATTGACAAGCACAGAGAACAACTGCTATTTTTGATCACAGCTTTCACTCTGTGCAGTGTCTGGAAGGCAGAAAAATGCTGCAACCTGTACAGTATGGAGGAAAAACTGTGGATATTTGGCTTTTAACTGACTCAAATCAAGCCAATTTGAGCAACTATATAGATAAGAATGTAAATAAATCTTTTTATCCTGAAGAAAAATCAAAGTGTAAAATGAATTATTTATTTATTTTCACTGTTCATCTGCACGATTGCCTTGCCCCCCTTGTCTTTTCTAGCAGTTTCCAGCAAACACATCAAACCAATTGGAGACCAACTACATCCCACAGGAAACATGAAAATAACATTCACCCCCCTCTTTGTAACACATAGTATATTTATAGTTTGGAATATTTGATGTACACAAGTAGAAACCCTGATCCTTGAAGACAAATTCAGAATGCAACAATGGATATTTTATATGCAGCAAATCTGTTAACACCAGCAGCACAAAGGCGACTGTGTTCCTGTTGCGTTAACTTGCACAAAGTCTCAGCCTCCTGTATGGCCAACAATCGCTGTGATAACACTTTCACTATTCTATATCACTGTAATAAATACGCCGTCCTGTGTGCTTCCATTAATCTGGCACAAAGGTCTCTTGTGTTGTGCTTAATAATTCAGTCTTGTGGGGTCCATTAGCCGTGTTTAATGATGAATGGCAACGTTCATTTTCATGTGTCGAGGACTCTGATGCCCAACAGTCAATGTCATGCTTATCATGTTTGCATTAATTATGAAACAAAGAAAGCCTTGTCCGGCCTCTGGCTTTGTTAATGGACCCACTGATGGTTCTGGGTTTCACTTTATTTGCTCCAGAGCAGAAGTCACAACCTCAGGGTTACTGCCCTGAGATCAACTTCAGCCTCCGTAGCTTCTTTTCTGCAGCATTTATGGAAACAATGAGATTTTTTTCCTTTGAATGATAGCAGTGTTTCAGGTCCACAAATATACATTATATAAAGGATTTCTTTCTGTGTGATCGTACCTAAGAATAGCTGCGTCTGGCTTTGCAGACAGGGGAGGATTGATGCATAAGTTTTAGCTTGTTTAACATATTAGTGTATGAATTCGGTATCTGTGCAGGATATGAGTGTGGGTGTCATCAGTGCTGTGTATTCCCATCAGCTTGAACTCTAATAAAAAGCAGGGCCTGCAGTCAGTGAAGATTGTGTGAATCCAGAAAGTCCCACACCGCAGCTATTTCACACCCACATACTTCCTCTAATCTTATCGCTCTGCTGGCTCGGAGGTCTTAAAGTGTACGGACTGTGCATGTTGAGAGTATGGGGCAACTGTATTTATGTTTGAGTTTGTTTGTGTGGGTGTCTTTGTATGGTTTCATTCTTTTTCATTTTTTTCTCTTCTTTTTTTTTGCATAACTGGACAATGTGGTAGACAGAGACACGAAAAATGGAGGCGAGAAGAGATGACGTGGCACAGGTCACGGGACAGACTTCATTTGAAATACACCATAGTGTAAACTTTGCGCCTTTGAACAAGCATGTGGTAACAAATATACTTGAGGGAAAGTGTGTGCCTTAACGAGCACCTTAATGTGGCTTGCTCTCCCAGCTTTGTGTAGTTTTTGGCAGGGAGATGAATCAGAATCCAGACTTCCTCTGAGAACGAAGACTTAAAGAAATCCTCACCAGAAGACAGAGGGGTAAAATCCCTTCTCTGTCTAATGGGAATTACTTAGTGCTCTTAGTAAGTCAGATGTTTGGAAGGTTTGTGCTGAGCCAAGCTTTTTTTTTCACTTTATAGTGACTAACCATATAAAGCTGCCCTTTTGATGGGTAATAGCATTAATTTATTTGACTCAGCATTGTTGCCTTCTTTGAAAATTTAAATATTTTATGTGCAAATGCCCTCTCCACAGCCACATAAGCACAAATATTCTCTGTGTAAAACAAAAAAAGTATTAATTATGTGTTACTTTCACTCTACAAAGAAGAAAAATGTTTTTTTTATTCTTTGAAGGTGACTTTTTTGTTCTTCTCTTGCATTAAGTTTTGTATGATTATCTAGCTGAGAGGGTGGGAGATTGCCATTTAATTCTCGGTGGCTTTCTGTAACCACACATTTAATGTTTGATTGGATTTCACATATATCTAATGTACACACATTCAACCTCAGACATATTTAACTGAGAAAGTTCTTATCCCAGGGAGGTGACTGTGGTGTATTAAGGGGGAGCACAGCTTTTCCAAACCCACCCACTTTTTTTCCGCCCTATAAGATAACCCATGTACCACCCAGCTGCAGATGACTCAGTTACTGTTACTCACATACACACACAAGGCAGACACCTGGGGGTTAAATATAGGATAATTTTACCATTCCCACATGTTCTGAGTGGGCGTGGAGGTCAGAGGATTTTCGACCCCCTGCCTCCACACCCCTGCGCTGAGACACACTAAAAGGAGGAGGTGGTCTGTGTCTCAGAAGGTGACTATGGCTTTCAGCACTTTTACCAAACGCCCACATTATATCCCAGGATTCCTTCTTCTCTTGCCCCTGAAAACACAGCGTTCCCTGAGGGAACTCTCAAAATAAGGCATTAACAGCATGGAGGGAAAGCGGGATAGATAAAAAGAGAAAGAGGCCATGACACAACACACATTATACAAAACGCTGACGGGCTTAGTATAGAGCAATAAGTACATAGACTGTGTAAGCAATGGGAGGGTGTAAACTAAAGCAACAGGAGAACAGAAGAAGGGTCACCTAAAAACTTGTAACCAAGCTCCCCAGAGGCCATGCAGACACTAACTTCTCTCTCTCCCCCCCCCCCCCCCCTTTGCCTAAATTATGACCTCCATTCTTCCATTCTACTTCCCAGCATGCAGTTTTACAGATGTCCAGAAACAGGAAATGTGAAAATGTACAGCAATTTAAATCATTCTCCTCTGGTGACGGAGGGACAAGCGAAGATTCCCAAATACTTAGTATGCGTAGGCATCAAATCCAAACAGCATCAAGGACAGATACTTTTCTTCTTAGAAAACATGCAACATGCAAAGCCTTCAGAGATTTCCATGATTCCCATGTCTTTCACAAACAATAAACAGCAAGAAACCAGACACTATGGACTGAACTTCTTGGTTATTGAGGCCATTTCTCAAACTCATTAAGTGTTTATTTGAAAGCTCTCAGTGTGTTTTTTGTTCTA